CTTCGCGGATCCATTGACATCCTAACCTCAAGAACCTCATTCTCCCAGCTGAGACACACAGATCCCAGGCCCCTCTTTCACTGATCCGCTTCGTCCAGTACGTCTTGCTTGAACAAGCGTGGCCAACTTGGTTGGCAGGTCGCCCACCCGGCCAACTCGCCTACCCTAAGGTTATCCCTAGAGGGCCAGTCGGCGGGGTTTGCGTCCGTTGCCACGCGATCGATAAAAACACGGATCCGTAATTCTAATACTAGATCCCAAAATACCGAGACCAACGAGCATAGATCTTCTTTGCTCGAATATCCCTTGATCAGGGTAGCCTCTACCACTTCCGAGTCTATGAAGAGGAGGAGGTCAACCCCGAACAACCTGTCTTTGAAAGTGTGAATGGCAACTATTGGAGCCAAAAGTTCAACTGGTATGATCTGGGTCCTACGAGCGAGGAACTTCTCTTTAAGTTGAGAGGGAACCACCGCTGTGAACTGTACAGGACGCAACATCTTACGATCGAAAACTACTGCACCAATCCGATCAGGTAATCGATCGACATCCCGAGGATCAGGTGAGAACCCATCAGTGAAGATCACCACGTCTGCCTTCTTGTCCGAGCGAAAGTCGATGGATCTGGGAGGACCCTCCTTGATCAAGTTCTTCCACTGGGCAAGGGCGGCACGGAGCGGTTCATCGAGTCGAAAGACGTCCGAGCATGGAAACTTAGAGTATTGTCTTTCAGAGATCACTCTCAGGAACGCTCTACCTACCTTGCCCCAAAGTCGACTCGCACCGAACATCAGCTTTCCTTTGAGTTTGCCTGCATGACCAGGCTCAACGATCCCTAAACCAAGTCCTCACGCCGATCGGCTTTGATCTCTAAGACCCAGTCCTCCAGATTATAGGTCACCCCCAAGATCACAAGTTGTGAGGTGATCTGCAGCTTCTTCTGATCAAATGCTGCGCCCAACATCCAGTGAACACTCTGAGCGACCCGAAATGCGGAAGGAGCCGATTCAACAGGTTCAAAACCGTATTTGTCATCGTAGAAGTTGAAGGCCACTAGTTTGAACAAAACCGAAAGGATCTCATTGATGGCAGCCGATCGTCTGTTGTAGTTGTAAGCTGCTGACACGAGCCCAAAGGAACGCCCTACCATAATGAAAAAGACAGGAGCATCCTGAGCGGGATCTTTCAAGCACATAACACTAAATTGTCGATGATCAGGTCTGATGGCCACCTGACGGTATGCCTTCCTTTCATCCAACACCCACCCTGCAAACCTCGACTGAGGCATCTTCGACCGCATGTACCTGAGAGCCGCATTCAAATCTGTTGAGGGCAGTTGCAACTTCTCCGTGATCACGGTCATGGGGTTGATGAAATTGGTCGTGGCGCTGTCGCAACCACGGACTTTGTTCTATTGAACAACTTCAAAACGTTGTGTTGGGATCCAGTCGTCACAACCCAGAAAACGTGAGACCTCACTAGTGGACGAAAAAGGCCCCAAAGTTGACCCCTCTTTAACATCCTCCATAGTGGCCTCCCAAATCTTGGACAAGTTTTCAGAGGCTGGCACATGTTGAACTCTTTTGATGATCTTCTGTCGGAACTCCCAGGCCCTCTCCAGCACGGAAGCCACCGCAACGCGCGGTTGGTCCTTCTCATACGGCGGCCAGCGCTGCGAGCGAGCAATAGGCCCGACGATCGGGAATCCATGCAGCAGTAAGTCCGGCAAGAACTTGTCGACCGAGTTGGCGCTCTCGAGCATGGCGTTGTAGAGCATGATGTGGCAGCAAGTGCCCAGGGCAACCGGATCCCATCAGGGGCACCTCGCAACAAACGTCGAAGAGCTGTTTCAGGGAGCAGTAGTTGTGCTTGTTGTTCCCAATACTGAAGAGCCCGGAGCCGCTGTCGAACGACCTGTTGCGAGCGCATCAATGGAAGCGCGCAAGGATGGGTCCACCACCAGCTCTGCCGTGAGCGGAATGGACAGAGCCCAGGCGATCGCCACTCCCGGCTCTGTTTCAATGTCAAAGAGCGGTTGAGGGCCCCTCGTTTGAGCTGATAGCCCGAAGCGACCGCTTTCAGGGCGGACAGTTGTTGGCGATGGCCGGCCCAGCGAACAGGTTGACCCAAAGGGCGCTTCCTCTTTTCAGCAGTGAGCGTGAACGACGGTGAGAACTGGGCACCAGATGCATCCCATATATTGACCACCAACGAGGCGAACAAGTCGCACATCGGCGCAGGGTAGACCTGAGCAAGCTTAGTGCGGAAGACGTACTTGCCGAAGAAGTCTGACCAGACTTTGCCCTGTAAGCGAACATGGGAGTGCGTTCCATCACAACGCCCATGCAGGAGTGTGAACAACTCATGGGAAACAGCCAGCCGAGTAGGCTTGACTGAAGGTGCACCAAAAGCGCACTGATCCAGATCCACAAAGAAAGCCCTCCCTTGGGAGCGCAGGGTGGCCAGGTGAGGTGTGGCCCACATGAGGCTGAACTCGGGGTTCTCGAGCGAGAAGTCGCCGCCGTGAGCGAGCACTTGCAGGATAGCCTCCACCGAGCGGTCCAGAAACAAATTGCCCAAAAAGACCAGAGCTTGGTTGTCGCTGGACAAGCCATCAAGACCAAGTGGATGAGCAGCATCACGAAGCGGCCCTTAGCTTCCGAGAAGCTTTGTTTTCTATCTGCCAGCTAGTTTTTTTGGCTCCCACCCTCCTGGAAGCCAGTTTTGGAAGCCCAATTTTTTGACTGCCAGCTGGTTTTTTTGTCTGGCAGCTTGTTTTTTTAGCTTCTGAAAACTGTCTGCCAGCTACTTTTTTTAGCTTCTGACCAAAAAACAAGCTTCCAGTATTTTTTTATGTTAGCACCCCAGAAGCCAAAATTTTTGGCTTCTAGAAGCTTGTTTTTTTGGCTTCTAGAAGCTTGTTTTTTTGGCTTCTAGAAACTTGGTTTTTAGCTTCTAGAAGCTTGTTTTTTTAGCTTCTGGAAATGGTAGCTCATTAACAAACTAAAAAGAATATACACATATAGAGATATATATATATATAGATAGATAGATATTTACTAACCATGTCATCAACCTAGCCCAAGCTCAAGAGCATAGATCTTTTTGGAAATTGCTCGTCTTTTGCCAGTGGAGCAGACCAAAGGCGATGGAAGAATGGCAAAATTGGTTGGCCTCATCTCTGGCTTTGTGCCAGATTGTAGCTTGAAAGATTTTCCCCTTGAGCCAGACATGGCTATTTCAAAGCAAGCAACCTTTTTGTCTGTCTGGTTTGCTGAAAAGCCCACTAAGCCTGAAGCAAGGCTCTCTTTCCAAATTGCTTGCCCTAAAATGTCAAATTTGGACAGAGGTGAGATCACTCAGCACTTGGTGCAATACAAGAGATGGCTGACCAAAAAAGCTAAAAATATGAAAAATGGAGAGAAGACAAGCCCTGCAGTCCTCCAAGTGATGAAAGCCATGGGCTTGGCACCTATCGCCAGTGAACCCCAGCCTCAGCCTGAAAGAAGGCTAAAAAGGAAAACACACTTGCCATCTGATTCTCTTGTGGCCCCTGAGCCAGCAATGGCTGCAATTCAAAAGCAAGACCCCCAGCCTGAAAATAACAAGGCAACAATTCAAAAGCAAGACTCCCAGCCTGGAAAGGCTCCAGCCACCAAATCAAAAATTTTAATGCTTCAAGGCAGCAGCACAAAGTCCAAGGTGGAGAGCGAAAGCGCAGGCAGTGAAGAAAAGGAAGCTTTTGTGGTCAGCACACAGGAAGTTTCTTCCACTTCATCTGGTATAGCGACCCCTCAAAAGCTGAAACCCAAAAATGGGAAGAATGGCAGCTACAAAAGGCCTGCCAGCTGCATGACCCCCCCAAAAAAGCCAGCAATGGCTCCCAAGACTGCAAAAGTTACCAAGCCTGCAAAGCACGTGCACATGGCAACCCACAACACATGGGTAGCAAGCTGCAGCTTTGGCTGGGTCAAAAAGGGCAACTTCAAGGAGAAGGGCTACATCCAAGCCAGGGATGGCTCTGAATCCAAACCGTATTGTTTGGTGAGTTGGGGAAGCCAAGGTGAAACCCCAGACTGGGATCCCCAGTGGGGTGACGCCTTTGGCCCTGGCCCACCCAACTCTGCCAGTGATGGCACTAGCAGAAGCTCCATTGCCAGAGATGGCACCATCACAGTGCAGTCAACCCGCTGTGTGAGAACCTCATGCCAGGAATGGCAAGACTGGTCTTCGCCCAGCCAGCAGTGGCAAGACTGGGAGGACTGGCAAGACACCTGCCAGCAATGGCAAGATTGGAAGAGTTCTGAAGCTGCCCCTCCAAATCCAGACAGGTGGGTGTTTCATGGCAGGGCTTCTGCCAAAAGAAGAGCTCAAAGAAGAGAGTTGGAAAGGAAAGGTGAAGAAGTCCCTGAGGAGTTTAAAGCCCAGGGTCCACAGTCTGAATAAGGCTCTCAAGAGGCAAATGTATGAATTGCATCGCAAAGCCAGGGAAATGGCTCAAGAAAAAGATCCAGCAAAGTCGGATGAATGGGAAAAGCAACAAGCA